AGTATTCTCCCACCTGACAAATTTTTATTGCACTAAATGCCACAGAAAGATTATCAACCTCTGATTTGGTAGGTTTGTTTGTTTTTTCAATAATATTTCAAACTAAACTTTTGCTAACATCCTTCCTGTTTCTATCATACTTTTTAATTTTGAAAGCCAACTCCTTAGCTACTTTGTATGTTTTGGGCATTGTGCAATAACCTTCTCTCGATATAGACTTAGAAGTCCTTGAACATACCATTCCCTCTTTTTGAGGTCTCTTACATAATTCTTTACCTCTTCTATATAAGTATCAAAACAGTTGGTATACATTTGAACTGTATTATCCTTATCCTGCACCATGTTTTTTAGTCTTTTCAGCTTCTCATTTGTATTCAATATGGTTTTTCAATAGTTGATCATTGCCGTTCTCAAATCTTGCCATGATTTATTAGTCATTACTAACTGAATCATTGATGGTTTCAACTTATCTACCACATGCAGTATTATAACTATTTCTTTTTTAGTATCATTCTAGTCTTTTGAAGCCATATATGCATCAAAATATAGTAGGAACTCCTCAATATTATCACAACCATCATATATTGACTTTGTTGGATTGTTTTCGCCTATCTTGGACCAGAGTATCGTACCAGTTCTTCTACCAAGAATATATAACAAGAACAGCATCATATATTAACTTGATATGCAACTAGTTAACCAAGAAGATATATTTTTAACTCCCTTTTGCGTTGTTCTTAAATCTATTAAAAAAATTTTTTTTTTTTTTTTTTAAAATAATGTATCCGAACTTATTGCTATCGTATTACAACCACTATAACTTTGCCATAAGTAATCCACAGCTTGTTATGTACCTTTTGCCCTTCCAAGCTCTTAAGTATTATTGTACTTATTGTTAGATAGTTTAGAAATAGCCACTAATTGTGTTCAGGTTCTTCTGTTATGTAAATAAGCAGTATATAGGGTCTCGTTCCTTTTGCTTTCTAATTCTACGTGCTTGGCTTTCTACACAGTTTGGAGTATTGTTCCAGGTACTGCTACCAATAGACCACAATGTTGTCCACTCAGTTTATTACTTAGAACATCCTTGTACTAAAGCCAAACTTCTAACACTTCTTTATATTAATAGATCGTGCTCTCTATATAGTTTATAAAAATTTTTTATAAATAAAAAATAACTAAAATATTATTTCTTAAACTGTAGGCTTTTTCAGACAAATTTGCCTAAAAAATTATCATAAATATAGTTATGATCTACTTTTTTTAAATTTTAACATATTTAAATAAATTTTTTTTTGATAATAT